TATATAATCGTATTCTATAGTGTACGTGGCCTCGGTCCAAATCACGTTTGTTGTACGTTCTGATGTTTCAGACAACAGCTGATAAAGCTAATGCCTGTATTCACTAGAATTTAAAAACAAAATCGCCATAAACAAATTATAGATCAATGAAGCATAAAATCACAACGTGTCTCATTCTTTAAAAACTTTGTTTTGGAAAGGGCGATGGCAGATAAGAGTCTGAAATTGAAGGTGCATGACGAGTGATAATTCAAACACACGTCTATCTTGATTGTCTTGAATTGACTCCATGTTCATCAAAAAATTTATAACCCTGTAGTGGAAAATTAAATATTTAAGGTATGAGTTTAGCGTTACAGTACTACGCAGGGCATGCAGGTAGCGGTGGTCGAGTAAAAGATAACAACAGGGGCAATGGTAAACTATTCATTTTTTTCATTTCTTAATTTAATCTCTCCCTACTCGACACGATTGTGTGCTCCCAGTGGTTCTAAGCCTTACGGGGCGTTGTGTATTAGGATAGAAATTGTCCTACCTCTACCCCCTAAAATGGGATGACAGCATTGCGTGACCAACAAGAAACCGCTGCAAGCAAGCATTCAAACCATCAAACCATGATGATCAAACGTAATATTTTGGTGTAGTGCAAAGCAAGCAACTATCTACAAATGACTTAGCCGTTNAGAGAACAGAGGACTGTTGTCAATACAGTCCAAAATTATTGTCAGTAAAATATTGTAAATAAAACACCTATTGACCGGTTACCTCCGCGGCCACCATTTCGTCGTTCCGACAAGGGTTTCATCATTGTCTTTACCCCTATCAAGCGGCCACCCAAAATTTAAAAACTTTGTTTTGGAAAGGGCGATGGCAGACAAGAGTCTGAAATTGAAGGTGCATGACGAGTGATAATTCAAACACACGTCTATCATGATTGTCTTGAATTGACTCCATGTTCACCAAGCAATTTATAACCCGATAGTGAAAAATTAAATATTCAAGGTACACCAACCTCTATTTAAGCGACTAGCCCCATTAAGCGGTCACCGCCAATTTCCCCGAGGGTAGCCCACTGTATTACATGTAAACCAAAAGTAATTGCACAGCGCGAGAAGACCTAGGTACGAGTTTAGCGTTACAGCATTACGCAGGGCATGTAGGTAGAGGTGGTCGAGTAAAAGATAACAACAGGGTCAATGGTAAACTATTTATTCTTTTCATTTCTTAATTTAATCTCTTCCTTCTCAAAACGATTGTGGGCTCCCAGTGGTTCCAAGCCTTACGGAGCCTTACGTATTAGGATAGAAATTGTCCTACCCCTACCCCCTA